TAGCACATTTCGTTATTTGCGTGGAAGACTAGCACATTTCAGATTTTTGCGTGGAAGAGTAGCACATTTCGTTATTTGCGTGGAAGACTAGCACATTTCAGATTTTTGCGTGGAAGAGTAGCACATTTCGTTATTTGCGTGGAAGACTAGCACATTTCAGATTTTTGTGTGGAAGAGGGATACGCAAGGCAGTTCATATAAGGTTGTAGCAGCCGTTAAAAAAAAAAAGTTACATAAATATGTATGTTTATACTATAATTATTTTTCTTCGGTCATGCTGAAAGTTTAGTGTTGTATATGGAGCCTTTTGGCCGGTTATTACAAGTAAAATAAACGTTTATTTTTCCTCCTACACCTTTCGACATTCGCGTCTTTCTCAGGGAATCTTTATTTATAAATAAATACGAAAAAACATATACATACAGTATCATATCAAGAGGACCCCGTTTCAAAGTGATATTATTTATGTTATGTTTATTTATTTACTTAAAAAACCTTCAATTAAAATAAAGTTAATTCTCTTAAAAAAATCCATTTTGGCCCAAGTTTAAAGCCCAGGAGAATACTAAAAAAACTCAACAAATTTTCAACAACGCAAACGCAAATGAAATATTTTCCTTCGAAGAACTGTCCAAATATTTACATTGGCAAAAAATTAAGATATCACATGTACGGAAAATTACAATAAAAAATAGCAAAAATCAAGTAGACATGGCAGTAAAATACGACTTTATGCAAAGCGAGGAGAAGTTGAACCTAATGAAAAAAAATGTTCAATGGTCAACCATGAAACACTGTGAATTGCCTAAAGCTTACAAGGGAAAAATACCTTTAAAAAAAAGAAAAGTGGATGATATTCAACAAATGATTAGTAAACGGTATATACCGTCTGAATTTCATGATTTTCATAATACAATTAAAGAAATATAGAATAAACGTTTGAATTTTCAATATATATTATGCTTTTATGATTTACTTTAAACCGGAGACGTGCAGTTTTCGCGGCTTAACAATCTGAAATATGCTACTCTTCCAAGCGAAAATCTGAAATGTGCTAGTCTTCCACGCAAAAATCTGAAATGTGCTAGTCTTCCACGCAAATAAC